ATCACACCCTTTCTTTACACATGAGAAACGGATGGTTATAATTTAAGATCAGTACGATTCTCAAAATGCATTCCAATGGCTTCTCATCTCACAAAAATAAAAACCAAAATCCTTACAACTCACCTGGACTCATTCTGAGCTGACTGCCCCTGACTAGAAACTCCTCTCCAAAATACCCTCCCTTACCAAAACTTTCTTCTTCTATCTAGCCTTACCTATCACAAACCATCTGACATTTTAAATGGGCCTCTTCCATGCCTAGAATGTAATCTCCGTGAAAGCAAGGACATTATTTTTGTTTCTTACTAGGTCCTCAGCAGAAGATGGCATATAGTAGGTACTTGTCTGCCATGTGGAGGATATATGCCTGGCACGCAGAAGTGCTCAGTATTTGTTGAAAAAATATATGCTTGGATTCTGGGCGTGGAGAGAACAGCTGTTGTATGAGGTACATGACTGACAGTTTCTTAAACTATATGCAGTTCAGTTTATCATAAGAAATATGAAAACCCTCCATTAAGTTAAATTAGTTGTTCCACTTTATGAAGAATTTGAGATATTTAGTGTTAATGCATTTAATAACCCAGGTTTTATATCAGGAAAGAATAAATTATTCCAAACTCCAACTGACAATTATAGGAGCCACTCAGCAGTAATTGTAGCAAAATAATAAATATTATTCTCATCAATTTTCCAAAGTTACTATTCTCCAGCAAATAAACCTATGAAAATAATACTATATACCACTTTTTTCACATTACAATAAAATCTCAGTAATTATGCTAATAAAAGATATTAAGATCTGGAAATATAAAATGCAGATATTGTGGAAATATCACCTTAGCAAAGAAACCAAAATTTCAACATAATGCAATTCTAAGACAGAACCAGATTTAAGAAGATCTGAGTATGAGGAAAGTTCCCTACAAAAACAGCCCACTACAGTCCTGAATCAGAACTTTTATGGCATAGGTCAGTCTAGAGAAGCTCCTAAGTAGCTCACATTTTTCCACCAAATATTTTACTAATATCAGTTAAAAAAAAAAAAAAAAAAGAGAAAGAAAAAGAAAAAAAAAAGATGAGCGAAGTTCTTTCTTGTCCCTGTAATCTTTTGACAGAGAATTAAGACTAAAACCTCCAAGGAAAAATGAAAAAAGGAAATCAACTGGGAATAGATGTTGAATAAATTATATCTATCAACTCTGAAATAACCAAGAAATAAACCATATGAACCGGTGTTCAAACAAGCCAAGAGTTACTTTTCAGGCCCAGAAAAGTATTCAGCAGTTAAAGATACAACATCCTAGTTTTCATTACAATTAAAGTAAGTTTTATCAACAGCCTTTATTCAAAGAGCTAAAATCTCAACCAATTTCACTCACTTTTAGTAAAATAAGAAATGAAATTGTTTTTAAAACATTTAATGGTGTTTTCCTATATAAACTGTGAATACTTACATATAAACATAACTATAACCACACTATTCATACTGCTCTATAATCTTTAATGCCTGCATAAAAGCTCATCATACGTATCATGATTTATTTAATCAATCCCCTAATGTTGGATTTTTAGTTTTTTCATTATTATAAACAAAGCTGCAGGGGACCTTTCTGTATGCATCTTTTTTGGCTAAATCAAAGTTTTAACAGGTTTTAACTTTAAAAAAATGTTTTTGGGGGGCCTGGCCGGCTCAGTCAGCTAAGCGTCCAACTTCGGCTCAGGTCATGATCTCAGTTTGTGGGTTCCAACCCTTCGTCAGGCTCTGTGCCAACAGTTCGGAGCCTGGATCATGCTTTGGATTCTGTCTCCCTCTCTTTGCACCCCCCCACCCCCAAGCCCTGCTTGCATTCTGTTTCTCTCTCCCAAAAATAAATAGATTTTTTTTAAATGTTTTTGAAAGTGTTTCAGCATTGATGCTATAAGTGAAAACAATGTTAAAATATTTGATCCTGTCCATTTATTACAGATGTTGTCATTTACTGGGGCTCATTTATGCATCCCCCACCTTTGTTTTTTTTCCTTAGTCACTAATTTTGTAGTTGTTACTCAGTGTTCCAAAGTATAAATGAGGGGAAAACAGAGAGAGAGTTACACTTCTCAGCTGAATTTAAAAATAAGTTGGGGGCAGCTGAGTGGCTCAATCAGTTAAAAACGGCCAACTTCTGCTCAGGTCATGATCTCAGGGTTCATGGGTTCAAAGCCCCACATTGGGCTCTGTGCTGACAGCTCAGTCTGGAGCCTGCTTCGGATTCTGTGAGTCCGTCACTCTCTGCCCCTTCCCCACTCGTGCTCACTCACTCTCTCAAAAATTAACATTAAAAAAAATTTTTTAATTAAAAAAAAAAACCTGATGAGCAACATTTAAGCCATATTACCTAACAGTCCTCTCAACCAAGGCTCCCAGTGAAAATAAGGCCCAAAACCTAAAGTATCCTTGTATGTAATGAATTAATTTCTCTCCTCTGCATCTAGAGCCTACTAGCTAGGTACCAAAAAAAAAAAAAAAAAAAAAAAAAAAAAAAAAAGTACTAAGTGCCACACAAATATAAAGCTACAATGACATTCTTCCCTTTTTCATTCCAAGAATGTCAAAACACTTCTATTTTACTGAGTTAGCTGGGTTGGTCTTAAAGCCTAAATAAAGTCCCTCACAAAATAAGTGAATATTTACTATATACAGTTTTCCTATACTAAACTATAATTGAAGTATAGCTATCTAACTAGGATATTTTGTGGCATTATGGGTCTACTGTTCACTGAAGCAAATCCTGTAAAATACTGTGTAGTCTATTTACAGAAGGGCTTTATCAACTGGGAATTTTACACACGCATGACACACATGCACATGCTTACTTTAACTGCCAAAACATTAACATAATACAGAAAAGTAATTTGGTAACATAGTCAATGTCTACTGAAAATAGTTATTTAGATTCCTACAGGCCTGTAACTGAAAAGACAGTTTTCAAATATAACTAGATACTATACCAGAAAGCTGTTCAGAGCACCCCAAAATGTATCCTTTGTATTTCAGCCACACTAACATTAGAATAAAACTAAGGATCTCTCTTTTACAATGACAAACGGAAGGAAACATATCAAGTGAGCATTATGCATGTTATACTAGGAAAGAGAGAGTAATTCCTCTATAGACCAGACTAAAGGCAATGGGAACACCATCTTCTGAGGGTCCGTTTCAAATTTCCTAAAAAAGCAAAAAATGGAAATAATTTTGCCAAAAATGAACAAATTTCAAGAAGGGCTGTCTTTTCTTCTTTTTCTCTTCAAAAAGGAAAAATTATGATCTATTAACGTCTTATAGTTTAAATAACACAATACTTGTTGGATTTAAAAAAAAAAAAAAA